ATCAAATTTAATTCGCAGTAACTTACGTTTAATTCGAATTAAACTCTCCGTGTGAACAGGGCATAAGTCTTCACCCATACATATATCAGGCCAACCACGCACATTACATATACGTATTGACTCCCATACCTTACACACCCTTTGCACTCGTACGTTATTTCTATGGTTCCAATGTGGAACATACCTTTTGAACATTTTTTTTCACATATTGTAAACATAGAAGAAACAAGTTTTCAATCCCAGCCATTAACATGATATTTTTTATAGGCCTCTCTTTCGATCGTTGAATAATTGGTCTACATTTTGAAAGTACAGATCTTATAATTCACCTCACATTTCCTGATCCTAACCCTTCATAGGGAAATAACAACAAAAAAGTCTTCCAGAGTTCGCCGCATCTGTTTGCCCCCTGTTTTTTACCAGAAAGAGATGAATCTCCTAAACCTACACCGTACAAACCGCTATTGATGAGATGGATTGATAAATTGCATGTTTTTTGACGTCCCATTTTGGAATATTTTTTAATATATTCGATCAGTGCATATTATCTATTCAAGATATATTACTAAAGTCAGGTACTCTTCACACAATTGCTCCCAAGAAAATAGTTCCATTCATGATCAGTAGATACAACATTACAACAAATGTTAAGAATAATGATGTATATTTAATACGTTATAGAAAACAAAATTAACGTAAAAAGATTTTAAGAAAATCACTTTTCCCCAGAAAAGGAAATAAAAAGTTTTCATATTCCTACGCTCGCTGCCTCCTCAGTCTTTTTCTCGAAAATATATATAGGTCATCCTTCGATTGATAGTGATAAATCTTTTCACCAATTATATAACTGTCATGATTATTGTTCGTTAATTGCCGTATATTTTCTTTTGAGTGAGAATATTAATCATTAACTGTGTGTGTGTGTGTGTGTGTTTTTCTCTCTCTTTTTTTAAATAACGGAATGGTTATTATGTGGTTAAACACCTGCAATCGTAACTTCTCGGTAAAGCAACGTGATTTGCCGAGCTCGTCTGAAAGGATCTTCGCACGTGTGTAAACCTAGTCTATTTGGCCTTGCAAGCACAGGTATGTGCACCGTTCGCTTAGATATCATGTAGACTGGGTATCAGTATTTGCTACGGACATGAAGAAGAACTACACACCAGTTTCATAACAAGTGCAGGTTTTTTACTCAAGCCCTAGACTGGGCTAGAGGGGCTGATCGAGTTACCTAAAACGATGCTAGGTCATTGATCTACTCAGTTTAAAAACACGAAAATATACTTTTTTTGTAAATAAAAACATTTCTAGAAACAAAAATGAAGTTTATCTTCAAAACGTCTCTATATTCAAAATCTATATAAAGTGTTAAATGTCGGATTTTATTCTATGACAAAGGAGTGATGCTCCACAGCCGCAACCGATCTCGCGCTTTCCTTTGCGTTTAACAACGGCCTTCAATGCATCTCTAGACAAGTTCATTGATTACTCTTGTTGACCCATCTTTAACATCTGCCTATGCTTTGAGTGATAGTACTTTAATAGCACAAAATTAAAAAATAAATTAAAATCTATCCTTGATAGATCTATAGTTTTGCTATTTAAAAAATTGGGCTATCTTTGATCTTTACTTGGATTTGTTTCGAATTTTTACTGAAGATTCTATCATTGGAAAGTTAGATGGTACACATGTAGTACAGGCCCATAGTACGCGGGATTTTTTCGGAGCCCCCCCCCCCTCACTTTGAAAACGTTGCTACAGGCCTGTAACATGCTATTTGGATTAAATATTCCTGAAAATGAGTGAGCTGTTAAATACATCTTTAAAATTATACGGTTAATTATATTTAGTCTATGTTCTATGTGAAATTAAAACTATTTCTATAGGCATCTGCAACGTTGTGATAATAAAAGTCACTAATCGCATGTAACGTTATATACATGTATGTATATGCAGTTTCCTTAGTACATGCATATTTTATTCAACAAAAGATGTTGAAACTCAGTAGAATATAATATTAAAAATTATTATTAATAATTTATTATTAATTATTATTATTATTATTATTATTATTATTATTATTATTATTATTATTATTAATTAATATTAAATATTATGTCATTTTAGGTTATTTATGGCCATTGTATAGTTGACTTTCTACAGCTTTAGTATCTCTGACGTTTTATCAGTAAATCAGTAGTTTTTTTTTTAAATTAGAAATCATCTGAGCACAATGAAAATTCGAATAAATTAAAAGTCGAATATCTTGGATATGGGGTACCCCATATCTATTCTTGTTTACTCATATAGAGATGTCACCATATACCGGTGAAGAGTTTCAAACTTAGACATTTGATCGGCACTTTGGGCCATTACGATAGCGTAGTCGTATATATATATATATATATATATATATATATATATATATATATATATATATATATATATATATATATATATATATATATATATATATATATAAAGGATGACAATTTGTAACCGGTTAATCGATTACTCAATTGGAACAATGGTAATCGGTTTGTCGGGAAAAAAAAAAAAACTATATGTAAATTTAAACGCAATTTTTCTTAACATTAATTTTTTATAAAAGAAACCTCAGCATAAACCTAGATAATTTAGCATTTTCACATATCTACTTAAGCTGATTTGATTATAATTATGGCTAGCCGGATTGAGATTGCGGGGTAATAAGTAAGTTTGTGAAGTGTTAATAACTGTTTTAAAAAAACCATGTCGGTACCCCAATGTCCTGTAATTCTTTAATGATATTAAATAAATCACCGTTGAGCACTGTGAATTAGTATGTCTGTCTCTTGCCGTTATCTATTAAATAATATTATTATACAAATGACATCTGCTCCGGAAAATTATCAATGTCTCTGCAAGCATATTTCATATTTTTAGCTCACCTGAGCCAAAGGCTCAAGTGAGCTTTTCTGATCAAAATTTGTCCGTTGTCTGTCGTCGTTGTCGTTGTTGTTGTAAACTTTTCACATTTTCATCTTCTTCTCAAGAACCACTGGGCCAATTTCAACCAAACTTGCCACAAAGTATCCTTGGGTGAAGGGGATTTAAGTTTGTTCAAATGAAGGGCCACGCCCTCTTTCAAGGGGAGATAATTAAGAATTAGTGAAAAAATAAATGCATCATTTAAAAATCTTCTTCTCAAGAACCATAGGGCCAGGAAAGATAAAACTCATGTGGAAGCATCTTCAGGTAGTGTACATTCTAATTTATTCAAATCAAGACCCCCGGGGGTAGGGCGGGGCCACAATGGAGGATCAAAGTTTTACAGAGAAATATATAGTAAAAACATTTAAAAATCTTCTTCTCAAGCACAGCAAAGCCATGATGAGTCATATTTATATGGAAGCATCCTCGGGTAGCGTAGATTCAAGTTTGTTCAAACCATGACCCCCGGGGGTAGGGCGGGGCCACAATGGAGGATCAAAGTTTTACATAGAAATATATAAGAAAAATCTTTAAAAATCTCCTTCTCAAGAACAGCAAAGTCATGATGAATCATATTTATATGGAAGCATCCTCAGGTAGTGTAGATTCTATTTTGTTCAAACCATGCCCCCGGGGGTAGGGCGTGGCCACAATGGAGGATCAAAGTTTTACATAGAAATATATAGGAAAAATCTTTAAAAATCTTCTTCTAAGGAACAACAAAGTCATGATAAGTCATATTTATATGGAAGCATCCTTGGGTAGTGTAGATTCAAGTTTGTTCAAATTATGACCCCCGGGGGTAGGGCGGGGCCACAATGGAGGATCAAAGTTTTACATAGAAATGTATAGGAAAAATCTTTAAAAATCTTCTTCTCAAGAACAGCAAAGCCACGATGAGTCATATTTATATGGAAGCATCCTCAGGTAGTGTAGATTCTATTTTGTTCAAACCATGACCCCTGGGGGTAGGGCGTGGCCACAATGGAGGATCAAAGTTTTACATAGAAATATATAGGAAAAATCTTTAAAAATCTTCTTCTAAGGAACAACAAAGTCATGATGAGTCATATTGATATGGAAGCATCTTCAGGTAGTGTAGATTCAAGTTTGTTCAAATCATGACCCCTGGGGTAGGGCGGGGCCACAATGGAGGATCAAAGTTTTACATAGAAATGTATAGGAAAAATCTTTAAAAATCTTCTTCTCAAGAACAGCAAAGTCATGATGAGTCATATTTATATGGAAGCATCTTCAGGTAGTGTAGATTCAAGTTTGTTCAAATCATGACCTCCGGGGGTAGGGCGGGGCCACAATGGAGGATCAAAGTTTTACAGAGAAATATATAGGAAAAATCTTCTTCTCAGGAACAACAAAGCCCAGATTGTTCATATTTATATGGAAGCATCATCAGGTAGGGTAGATTCAAATTTATTCAGAACATGACCCCCGGGGGTAGGATGGGGCCACAATGGAGGATCAAAGTTTTACATAGAAATGTATAGGAAAAATTTTAAAAATCTTCTCAGGAACAGCAAAGCCCTGATTGATCATATTTATGTGGAAGCATCCTCAGGTAGTGTAGATTCTATTTTGTTCAAATCATGACTCCCGTGGGTAGGATGGGGCCACAATGGAGGATCAAAGTCTTAAATAGAAATATATAGGAAAATTTCTTCTGAAGAACTGCAAACCATGATTAGTCATGTTGATATGGAAGCATCCTCAGGTAGTGTAGATAAAATTTTGTTCAAATGATGACCCCCAGGGGTTGGGTGGGGCCCATTGGGGGATCGAAAGTTTTACATAAGAACATATAGAAAAAATATTTCTTCTCAAGAACAGGAAAGCTATGTTTAGTCATATTGATATGGAAGCATCCTCAGGTAGTGTAGATTCAAGTTCAAATGATGACCCCTGGGATAGGGAGGAACCACAATGGGGGATCGAATTTTTACAAAGGAATATATGGGAAAAATTTTTTTTTAAACTTCTCAAGTACAACAAAGCCATTTGTTATATTGACATGGAAGCATCACCAGGTAGTTTAGAATTCAAGCCCCCCCCCCCCCCCCGGGTAAGCTTTTCAATACTGAACTGATTTGTGCTTTTGCCTAGCCAATGTGCTCAGGTGAGCGATGTGGCCCATGGGCCTCTTCTTAATTTTTTCTTGTTTAGTGAAATTGAAATAAAATATATGTACATGTAGTTTCCCGGTCAAGATAACCAGAATGTTTTTAACATCTAACGTTTTTAAGTCTTCTTGTGTATATGAATTGAGCTACTTGAAAAAAATGTCCTAAAATGTATATTTTGATACGATTAACCGACTAATCGGTCGAAACGTTTTGCGGTTAACCGATTAGCGATTCTGTATTCGATTGCCATTCCATATATATATATATATATATATATATATATATATATATATATATATATATATATATATATATATATATATATATATATATATATATATATATATATATATATATATATATATATATATATACATGAGAGAGAGAGAGAGAGAGAGAGCACTGCATGATAAGCACGCTAAAATGTATACTTTGAGCATAAGTTATTTAAACATTTGCATATATTTCAGTTGTAAAACGTGTTCTACAGAAACACGAGAGCACACCTCTGATGATGAACAAGCAGCAAATAGAGGTGGAGGAATATCATCCTCCTCAAGAAGACAGTGACGGAATATCTGAAGGACTGAATGAGAAAAGGACAATTAAAGTAACAAAGCTACCCACAGGGATCTCAGAGGAACAAATAGCTCTTTTCTTTGAAAATTACAAGAAGAGTGGTGGTGGAGAAGTGGAAAAAGTGGAGTATGATGAGAATACAAACACTGCTATTGTTTGGTTTGAAGAGGCTCAAGGTAATATGATCTTTATTTTTAGTGGAAGTTATGGCTACGTCACTCCTTTTTTAAACATATGCTCTGGAGAGATCATGTATAGAAAAATTAGCTGTTGACCTATTGTTATACGATATATTGTCCATCATCGTCCATCAGTTATAGTCTTACATGTAATCATTTTCAGTTTATTTCTTGTACAACTGAAACAATTTTTTCTATATAGCATATTTCGGTAAAAGGGAACAAAAGTTATGCATGTTTATGATCTTTCTCCCTGGACCCTGTTGTGTGTTTCCCAAACCATCAAAATTAAAATTGAATCCTTAAAATTCTTCTTTACTCCTTGATCTCAACACAGCAAACACTGCTATTGTTTGGTTTGAAAATGCTCAAGGAAAGATGACCTTTGTTTTCATTGGATTTAGGGTTACATTATTCCTTTTTTATTATGTATACTGTTTACATCATGTCAAAAATATCAAATTTTGTGATATCATTCAATTGTTGATGGAGTTAAAAAATTCACATATGACCATCCGATACCAGTGAGAACAAAAGAAATAAAAAATTAAGTGATTATTTAGCAAATATCAAAGTTTAACATTAAACGTTCACTTATCTATCAAAATCGAATATTATTAGTTGTCCAGGTCCAATCAAGGGTGTACGAGGATTTATACCAGGTTTTATTCCATACACCTTGAGGTCGAAGGCCGAAGCGTGTATGGAATACAGCCCGGGTAAATCCCCGTACACCCTTGATTGGACCTGAATAACGAATTTATTTCCTAAGTACCCAAATAATTCTTTGTAAACAAGTCCAATCAACTGTGTTTCAAGCTATCGATAGGCTATCGATAAGATTCGTGTTATTTGCTTTTTATCATATAGAGAAACTATGCATTTCGATGTCACATTGTTTACGCCTGGCTCAAGTTGGGTGTACGGAAATTTACACCCGACTTTGTAACCAATCAAAGCTTGTGTTACCAGCTACTGTACATAGGAAATAATATGTATTAATCATGCAGAATTTGAAATTGAAAGATTAAAATCAAATACACATTTGCAACAAGCAGTGATTCATACATGATGCCCCTGAACTTGTAATTTACTTATCAAAATTTATGCAAAGTTTACCTTTATTGTTAAAAGGTTTTAAAAATGTCATACCAGCTGGGTTAAATACTTATAATCAAAGGGTGTCGGCTAGTAAATCTGTCATTTTTAATCGTAAAGTCAAGAGTTTTTATTCTGGGCACTATCGAGAATCATTCATTACACATGCAGTCTTTTATAAGGTTATTCTCAATGTCTGTAATTAGAAATTCATACACGAGTGTTGATCCAAATTAATGTCAAAGCTGCTCTAAAATCTTAAAAGATCAAAAGTTATCTTTAAGAAAAAAAAAGGAAAACACCAAAGTCCAAAACTCTATTTCGTGTGGAGGGGGGGGGGGTCTCTAGCTAGAACTATTGAAGGACAGATTATTTATTTCCTTGCCCAGTCGAGAAAAGATTATTCATTTCCAAAATCTGCCAGCCCCCCCCCCTTTTCAGAATGAAATGATCGTCCCCGTATGCCTCTATTATTTTGACATTGTCTTAAAATTTTCAGTTATATTCCATACATCTTTTTAAACGTCAGTGTTTCAGATGCAAAGACATTTCACGTTTCTTATCAATCTTTTCAACATTTCAACTAAGGAGTGAGTGAACGAACAATCAACCTTGAATTAATTAATGTCCTATTTCTCAGACATGCTGCCACCCCGCAAGACACAGAAACCGCCACCCCGAGCGTCGCATCGAGTTTGAAGCCTAAATTGGCTTAATTAGTAAAATATATTAACTTATAAAGTAGGATTGAAGTTTATTCTATCGTTTTACTTTATTACTGTTCAAGATATAAGGGAAAAAACCCTTCTGAGGTCAATTTTGAAACAGAATATTGTGTCAAAAGTCGAAAACGTTGATACCCCGAAAAGTGAGGAGGAGTGTTTGAGAAAACGGAGCACTCTCATAGGCTGCTTTAAACGGTCAGAGGTAGGTTGATATTTGCTCTCTTCCGTAGAATACAATTTTTTGATCTAACACGTCTAAACATATGAAAAAAATTCAGGTTTAATCACCGTGTTGATGTTTTCTTCGCCTCGGTGCCGCCACCCCGAGTCACGCATTGCCGCCACCCCGAATGTACCGTTCTAACCGGTGAGGTCTTTGAGCAGCAGTGAGAGATCTTTTTCGTGCCAGCACCTACTGCAACACTGGAACTCGGATTATACGGTCTCATCCACACTACCGGTCTCCGCGTCCCGCAGTGGGATTCGATCTCACGACGCAAGGATCAAATCAATACTCCGCGACGTTAGGGAAAACGCTCTAGACTACCACTGCGCCACGACGACAAAACACATAATAGAAAGTGGTATTAGGGTTGTTCTGACAGTTGTTCGTGGACTATTGTCATAACTTTTTTTACTTTACGTCATAATTACATGTATTATATTAAAATTTTGAAGAAATGTTACAACAATAAATTTAAATGACGTGTACTTATAGTTTTAAAAATATTTCAAACTTACTTAAAGTTAAAAATGCTAAAATCCGGTCGCAGAGTAGGTCAAAATTTCGTAATTTACAATCAATACAAACATTACATAATGTCTGTTGTCATATCCTTTGTAAAATGGGCAAAAACGGAATAATCCTAGACGTTCAAATTTAAAAATTGTTGCATCGTTTCATATTCCAAATAATGACAACATTTTGTTTCTTTGGAAAGAAATCAGTTATAGAAGTAAGGCGGTACTTATTGAAAAAAGAAAAGACGTCGTAGAACGTCACGGAGCAGCAGTTTATAGCGATACAAATTTGTGTTGTACTCTGAAAAACTCTATAGAAAAAAAACTCTAAAAATGCCCGAGGAAGCAGAAAAATATGTCAAAAGCGAATCATGCATTTGTGTGTACATGCGGTATTTGAATTCTAGAGGCTCTGTCTCAGACGAGGACGATCTGTGAGAAAACGGATTATCATTCTGTAAAAATCTTATCAAAAACTTTTAAAAGTTAGTAAGGTCATGGTAAGACTTAGGCGATTCAAAGTTGCTGATCTTGTAAAAGCACGGTTACACATTTAAAAAAAAAAAATAACATTGACAAACAAAGTTATGCTAGCCTACTTCATCAATTGTTTTCAAAATATATTTCACGTTATAGAGTTCAACGTTATTAATGAGTGCACTGGTATTGGGCCATACTACGTGAAATGTACAGGGATAATATTTTTGAAAAAATTTGACGCTATGTTCTTGACGTTGCAATGTTTTTGAGTTTGCTCCGTGATTACAAAACATGTTGATTTTAAAATTAAATAACTTGACTTCTTCTAAATCACATGGAATGAAGCTTCACACATCAACAAAATAAATATTTTTTTTATATATGATATTGTGCTCATTTTAAATTTCTCGAAGATTGACATGGTCCGCGAGCTTTGCGAACAACCTTTGTATGTACAATTTTGTCCATAACGTTCGATTATCAGAAACTTTAAAGCAGTTTTGACATTAATTTTTGATTAACCCTCGTAACATCAGCATCTTTAGTACGTAGGTAAATGTTTTTATTATAGTGACATACATTAATTTGTATACATAATACATTAATTGTGTATGCATTAATTTTACAATCATTATACAAATAAGCATATATATACAACACTCGGCCCATCGGCAGTATATGCATCTATATATGTATAATTATATATATCTATTTGTTACATACGTGTGATTTTCTATGTCTCATATAATTTGCATTATACATGTTTATGAAAGTCGCAGTTTGACGTGGTATATGAATGAATATATACTTAAATGGAACATTTAAATTATTATTATGTATATTTGAAATTCCAGTATTTGTTAGAAAATCATATCCACAGTTCTTATACAGATCACATTTTAATAGAAAATGAAGTTCACCCTCTACTTCGTTCAATCACAAAGACTACATATTTTTCTGTATTTTCTGTGTTGTTCAGTTCAAATCAATATTTTTCTGCATGCATTTTACTTTCTACCCGCCCCCAAATAATTCCTTAGGTTGCATGTATCATAAATGGACACACTGATCTGAGTTACCCCCTCCCCCTTTCAGTCAAAACAATTAAATTACTCAGTCTATTGTTATGTAGCTAATTACAAAAAAAAAGAAAGGAAAAAAAAGAGCAGTTTTTATTCTAGCCTTTTTGACGGCATTACTTCAACTGATGTAAACTGTTTTTACCGGGTAGTGTGATATATGCCTCATACAATTCTGTATGAAAAAATAGACATTTTTCGGCCCTAAAAGCCTTAAACTGTCTGATTTTTTCATACAGAACTCTGTTTGGCGTAACATTACTTAGTTTATATCATTTGAGTCAATCGATCGGATGACCTTTAGTTATTTGTATCGTTCGCCGGTCGTAAAGTCAGTAATGGGTATATGCCGATGTGTAGTTCTATATGAAAAAAATATATATATTTCAGGCAGTTTGAGGCTCTGAAATTCTCGATAAACCGCCTTTTTTGAATTTAGATATCATGGCGGTATAGCGAATTTGGCGATGAACTGAATTTCCCTGGAAACAAGAAAAAAGTTATCGTTCTTAGAAATAAAACATTTAAGGGTATATTTTCATTTTTTAGTATGGCAGAAAAAAATATTTCAGAATTTGAAAATGCTTAGAACAATTATTTTTATGTACAATAATTTTATTTTTATACAAGATATGTAATTATTTCGGCTTTTGTCCTCAGGTTGATTGGAATGAAACCCGGCCGTACACCCTTTGATTGAACCTGCATATCTAATAAATATATATTAAGAAAAATATATTTTGATCATAAGTTAATTAAACATGTATATATTTCAGTTGTAAAAAGTGTTCTACAGAAACACGAGAGCACACCGCTGATGATGAACAAGCAGCAAATAGAGGTGGAGGAATATCATCCTCCTCAAGAAGACAGTGACGGAATATCTGAAGGACTGAATGAGAAAAGGACAATTAAAGTAACAAAGCTACCCACAGGGATCTCAGAGGAACAAATAGCTCTTTTCTTTGAAAATTACAAGAAGAGTGGTGGTGGAGAAGTGGAAAAAGTGGAGTATGATGAGAATACAAACACTGCTATTGTTTGGTTTGAAGATGCTCAAGGTAAGATAACCATTCTTTTCATTGAGAGTTCTCGCTAATTTATTCTTTTTTAACATCTATACTGGGTACTTCATGTATACCAACTTTAAGAAATGCTAAGATATCATTCTTGCAGTCTAACGAATTACCTTTTACAGTCCGATATCTATGGTGTCCCGATAGGGCCAATTGCAAAAGTGCAACAGCGCGTTAGAAACAACGCGCCGGTGCGTTGTTCACATGTGACAGCGCACCAGCACGTGGATAACAACACGTCTTTTCGCTAATGCATCTAAACAGAACATGTCTGTGTAAAGACGAATAATGACCCCCGTAAAATAATGACTGGGGGTCTCTTCGTTGTTGAAAAATGACTCCCGGTCATTTTTCAACGTCGAAAAATGACCCCCCAGTTATTATTCGACGTCGAAAAATGGCCCTTTTGCCTTTAAAGTTACATCACCTTAAAATATGCATACTTAATAATGACCCTTTTAAAAGTGTATATAGAGTGTGTTAGCTATATATATACTTGTATTTTTCATTTAGATAAAATGATTAAAATTATACAATTTTAAGGCCTGTAGACAAAAATGCTCACCCGAGATATACATAAAATGAGGATACAGGAATGATACATGTATGTTCGTACCATAAAATCTTTTGAATACGATTATCTTTTTTTTTATGCTTGACAACATTAATCGACCTCAATATACAATATGTGGAAAAGCTTTCATTTTAGTTAGACAAACAAATTTTTGTTTTATGATTTAAAAAAAATCTTTATATATCCCAGAGAGAGAGAGAGAGAGAGAGAGAGAGAGAGAGAGAGAGAGAGAGAATTGCTTATAATGTCTAAATGTCTATCTACCGGTTAATCAAGTTGCATTTGTGCGACTGTATTTTTAATTCATTGATTTTTAGTTTACATACATGCATTTTTGGACATAGAGCAAAGTATATACGTATCTTAAACGAAGAAATGTATAATGATTTAGATACTTTTGGTTCATTTTTATTAAAACCGAAAGAACGAGCATTATTCTAACTATCAATGGTACTTGTTGTATGTGGCCTAAATTTAAAAAAAAAATGGAGAGGCAAGTAATTGTCACCTAAACTGCAAGTTAATCTTTTTTGAAACCCCAGAAAGAAATGGAAACCATAAAAGTGTAATTAATACATGTAATATTTTTGATTTCCTGGATTTTTTTAATCAGAGGAATGATAAATTTTGTATAAAGAAAAGAAATCAAATGTGTTCGATCAAACATATAATTCGCTGTTGTCTAAGCAAATATCCAGTTTGAGTTAACAATTCGATAAAAAAAAAAATCAATGTACCTTTCTTAAGTGTATATAATTTGTCCGAATGCAGAACTTTTTTCACACAAATATCTTGTTTGTCCGAACGAGGAACAAACTTGTCAGATTTATTACATTATTTGTCGAAACATATATTGAATTCGTCCGAACATTTATACATTTTGGAGCCTTCAATGGCACCATTTATGACTTTCATGGATTGTTAAAATTTGTGTATATTATAAAATTTACAAAATAAATAACCTTACAAATTAAAAAAAATTAATGTGTTTGCTTATAAGGTCATTAGAATGACCTAAGAACTTTCGAAATGCTTTGATTTAGACCGTTGAGCCCTGCAACATCCTCTTGTTTGTCAATATCCTGTCTCTGTTTTAAAGTTGATGGTACTCAAAGCATGCTCTAGCGTATCAAATAAATAAGAGACTAAAATCCAGGCGATACTGGAATATTACTGTATAAATACATTTAAGAAGTTAGCATTTGAAAAGCCGATTTGATAGTCATATCTTGACATACAGTTTAGTTGTAAGTTGGTCATAAGCGTCTAAAATCAGTAAAATTTCGAAATGAAAACGGAGGCTAAAGAAAGATAAAGACATCTGTTTTAACCGATAGCCACTCTGGCGTATCTATTGAGCGATTTCTTTTGTGTGTTGAAAACGCAATAGATGAAATATAAAGATTACGATCGGTAATAAGCTCAAAAGTCCATTTAAGCAAAACAAGATAGTCGTGCAAACCGGACCTCTAAAACATCATAGTAGGTATCATATGCTTGGAGGATTAGGCATCCCTTGTCGATCAGTCACAACATTAACCGCTGAGTGCCCCTATCGAAATGAAAATGCATGTACTCTAGGTACACTTTTCAGGCCCAAGGGATCATAGAGTATCCAATGGCTTGTGCTTGTATATGATTTTTATGCAAGGAGTAATCTATTTTCTATTCCCCGGCTTTGGTGTAGGGATCAGAATCAAACAACGATTTAATAAAAATTATGTTCATTCACGAACCAATGAGATTCCTTTTATCAAATGTTTTACACATTGCTATCCCATGTTTAACACAGTTTTTATATGTGAGTTCACTTTATTTGACTTCATCACTTTAAGCCGAAACCATCATGTCACAACTTTTTGATATGAAAACGATATCATATGAGCTATTCCCACGTGCACTGTATAAAGAAGTAAATAAGTGATAAATTGAGAGAACATTTCATCTTTCAGATTCATCTTCGTAATGTGTGGGCATTTTAAACTTGTATTTGTGTTATTATATAATTATATATAAATTGTATTCATGATTATATATTAGCAGGTATTCCTTTTAAAAAATTAAAACTCATATTATTTTGATTATAGTTTATTATAAGTTGATTATTTTTTAATTGAAATTGTTTTTTAACCGAATACTATGTAATCTTTATTTTGCCAACAATGAGATAAGCTCTTGAATATGATGATAATTAAAGAGTCTTTCGTAAACATAAAGATTCTCTCAAATGACTCTAGAATTTTATGCCCTTGGTGTGGCTAAAGCGATAAAATCCTGAGAAACTCATGATCTGCAGACGATCATTAAAGCATTTACCTCTTTTTATTTTTGTTATTATAACATAATGACTTTTAACTCAGTTCAGTATACATGTGTTCAGTTGTAGCAAGTGTTCTACAGAAACAAGAGAGCTCAACACTGACAATGAACAAACAAAAAATAGATGTGGAGGAATATCATCCTCCTCAAGAAGACAGTGATAGAAAATTTGAAGGACTGGATGAGGGAAGGACAATAAAAGTAACAAAGCTACCCACAGGGATCTCAGAGGAACAAATAGCTCTTTTCTTTGAAAATTACAAGAAGAGTGGTGGTGGAGAAGTGGAAAAAGTGGAGTATGATGAGGATATAGACACTGCTATTGTTTGGTTTGAAGATGCTCAAGGTAAGATGGCCTTTCTTGTTATTCAAAGTTATCTTACATTATTCCTTTTAAGCTCAACTGAATCAAAGCTAAATGGAGTTTTTCTAAAAGGTGTCCGGTGTTGCTTTTTTCGTGTATCGTCTGTGAACTTTTCAAATTTTCGACATCTTCTCCAGGGCCAATGGGCAAATTTCAGCAAAACATGTCACAAAACATCTTTGGATGAAGCAAATTTGTAGTTTGTTGAAATGAAGGGCCACGACCCATTTTAAGGGGAGATACTTCCGATAAGTGAAAATTTAAAGGCATCTTTTAAAAAAAAAATTATCAATAATTACTGGGTCAGAAAAAAATTAAACTCAAGTGAAATCTTTATAACACAATGTAGATTCAATTTTGTTCAAATCATTATCCCCGGGGGTAGGGCTGGGCTACAAGGGGCAAAATATTTTCACATTGATGTATATATATGAAGAATCTTAAAATGAAATATGAAGATAACGAACAGTATGCAATCTCGAAAGTCCAGTGAAAAAATAAAAATTTGGAAAAGAGCAAACATGGACCTAAAATTTAGAGAAAACCTTTTTAAATTTTAATTTCAAAAAAAATTGTGAAGAACCACAAAGTCATTGGTCATATCTTTATAGAAGCATCTTTAGGAAGAGTAAATTTAATTTTGTTTAAATCATGCTCCCAGGTTATAGGAGGGTCACAATGCCGTTTTACAAAGGAAAACCTAGAATTTAAAAAAAATATATATTCTCAAGAACAGCATAGGCATGAATACTAATATTCATATGTAAGCTTCCCAGGTTGTGTAGATTGAAGTTAGTTCAAATCATGGCCCCTCCTCTGTGTGGGGGACTATTTATATAATTGAATTCTTCAATTTGAACTTTCTTTTTTCTAGCCAAATGCTCAAGTACGCGATATGACTAATGGACCTTTTGTTAAATGTGTGTGGTAGATCTTGTATGGAACATTATCTGTGGTCATTTAATTCAGTCAGGGTACGATTGTTATCTATTTTCGTACGTCGTCGACTGTCAGCTTTAAATTCTTAATCATTGTCAGCTTCTCTTGTACGACTGTATTATTGTGACTTTATGCATAGTTCAAGAGGAGAAAATGATGATAAAAATGATGATAAAAAACAAGCAATGTGCAAATTATTATATATTCAAAATGATAATTCATCCGTATTTTAGTTGTAACAAGTGTGCTACAGAAGCACGCAGGCACACCACTGACGATAAACAAACAGAAAATAGATGTAGAAGAATATCATCCTTGTAAAGAGGAGGTGGAAAACAGCTCAGAAGTGGAACAGTATCAGGGAGGGGCTATCAAAATAACAAAATTACCTCCAGGGACTTCAGAAGAACAAATACTTCTATTTTTTGAAAATCGTAAAATGAGTGGAGGTGGAGAAGTGGTTAAAGTGGAGTATAATAAAAATACAGACAGTGCTATTGTTTGGTTTGAAGATGCTGACGGTAAGTATTTATAATAATGTGACAGTTTTCATATTTCATCAATAAAATGTGTTCGACAGCTTGATTTCCATTCCAGTTGTATCACGTGTCCTCCAAAGAATTCCACTTTTGTTCAATAAAAAACAAATCTATGTGGAAGAGGTACGTTTGGATGGGAAGAGTGTAGAAAAAGAAGCAGAAGAGGATACTTTGGGTCCCTTGTGTACCATTGAGGTAAGGGGTATGAAGGAAACAACGTCAAGAGAGAACATAGAACTGTACTTTGACAACAAGAAAAAATCAGGAGGTGGAGGCGTGGAAGACGTCAAAGGTGAAGTGGAAGATGGAGTCCTTTATATAACTTTTGAAAATGAGAAAAGTAAGTAAGGATTACATGTTCATGCACAAATATATATATATATATATATATATATATATATATATATATATATATATATATATATATATATATATATATATATATATATATAATCCATTGGCATCAGAAGCAAGTTTTTTTTGACTTGCCTAGATGGCCGAGCGGTGTATCACGCTGGTCAATCACGCTGTTCGGAGACAGATTCAATAGGTCGAGAGTTCAACCCCGGGTTGGGGCGGAAGTGGGTATCCTTGTAAAAGTGAATTCCTTTGTGCTTTCTATATTAATATCTCTTCACTCAGGGTAGTTATGTTAGTTTAAGAGTTTTTGTAAAATGTGCTTTATAAATAAAAACGATCCATTACAATGTGTATCGGTAACGATCCTCTAATAAAACTGTTTTGTTTGTATGTTGTTTAACGTCCCACTTGAGAATATTTCACTCATATGGAGACGCCACCACTTGCCGGTGAAGAGCTGCAAATTTTGTCCTATACTCGACACTTACGGCCATTGAGCAGTGAGGGATCTTTTTCGTGCCAGCACCTACTGCGACCTCGGTTTATGCTGTCTCATCCGAAGGACCGGTCTCTACGTCCCACAGTGGGATTCGAACCCGCGACGTAAGGATCAACTCCTTACTTCGCGACTCTAGAGCACACGCTCTAACCACTGCGCCACGTCTAATAAAACTAATATTCAAATAACTGAATCTCATTTCCATTCTCAATGACCGTGAAGTATAGGACAGCATCGCAAGAATTCCATCGGCATCGAAAGCAAGTCTTTTGACTTGCTTAGATGGCCGAGCGGTCTATCATGTTGTTCCTGTACTGATAGGAAACGAAACAGATTCCGTAGATCTCTGTAGAATTCAACCCTGGGTTGGAGCGGAAGTGGGTATCCTTGTACAAGTGAATGTCTTTGTGCTTTATATATATATATATATATATATATATATATATATATATATATATATATATATATATATATATATATAGATAGATAGATAGATAGATAGATAGATAGATAGTTCGAATGAAAATTATCGTAACTAGTAATAATCTGTGATTTAATATTTTCTATTTTCAGATGTTGAAGAAGTTATGAAACAGGAACATAAAGTTGATGGAGTTATTTTGGACGTCAAGATTTACCATCCTCCAAAGCCGATACCAGTTTATCCAGACAGAGTACTCATCACAGGTTTCAAAACAGGAACAACAAAGGACGGACTTACAAATTTTTTGGAGGCCAGAACTGGAGAAGATGTCAAAGAAGTAGTTTTTGATCAAGAACAGGAAATGGCAATAATCATTTTTCAGGAAATAAAAGGTTTTTGCAATTAAAAAAAAAATTTCCGAAACCTTTAATTTGTCTTGTTTAGTATTTTAAGAAAAATATTATGTACTATTTATTAGCTATATAATAAGGAGATATGAACCATGTATATCAGTGACATCTGTTTTATCTTTAAGATCAATAAAATTTGTATTATGGAAGATGAAGCATTGCCAAAATGAAAGAGAAATCATATCCTTTTATAAATACAGATTTTCTGAAACTTGAGGAAATATGTCAAAAGAAACCTCTAGAAAAACACTTTTTGAGTGTGAAAAAAGTTTCCATTTCTAACTGCATAATTGTGACTGGATTCGCTGAGAACACAGCAGAGAGCACAATAGAATTCTACTTTGACAATGAGAGACGAAGTGGTGGAGGTGTAGTTACGGAAGTCAAAATCAACAAAGATGATGACACTTGTTTGGTGTATTTTGAAGATCACACAGGTCAGCACAATCAAAAAAGAAACATTTACAAGGGCTTTGCACATTTACAATTTTATGAGACTCAAATTCAAAACAAACTTAAAGAACTAGATATAATATTGAAGGGAAAATATTACTATACATTGATAGATATTTAAAAATTCCTGTAAATAAAATTAACATGTCTAAGTGGCGTCTTTTCTTGGTGGATATCTCCGGTTTGGATGATTAAACATGTCCCAATCGGAGGAAAGCTTAACAAAGTCGTCACGGTATCTAAGTTGGTAGAGCGCTCGGCTCTTGGTTAAAAAGTGATGGGTTTCAATCCCCGGCCGCGACTAACCTAAGTCGATAAAAATAAAAAGGAAAGAAATGCTCCTATGCCAAGTGCTCGGCATTTTGATTTGAAAGTTGTAAATCTTCCGGATTAGACCTTAAAAAGCGTGGCCCCATGTCACAGCAGGCATTGACACTATAAAGATCCCACATTAGTACTGCTCAATGGCCTCCAGTGCCGAGGAAATGTGTAAATTTGAAGGCTTTCACTGGCAAATAGAAACGTTTCGTTTAAGTTAAAAACTCTCGAACGAGACGTTAAACAAGATACAATTCATCACGCAATAAAAAAAGGTAAACGTAAATTAATTTAACTCTGAAAAAGGTAAAGCAACCTTTGCTGTTAAAAAAAAAAATGAAAATGAACCCTACTTCTTGTTCTTTTACTGATTTCTCAATAAATCATTTTTAAATCAACTGTGCTCGATACATAAGTAAATAAAATTGTGCGACAAAGTTTATATCAATCGTGTCATTATGAATACTCTTTTTTAAATTAATATTTTTAATAGTTATCAAACTGTTTAGAATCGTTTAAATTAATTCATCAATAAATAGATAACTTATTTAACAATTTATACATGTGTATTCAGGTATGAATGCTATTATTTTTCATGTCTGTTAAAAGCCTTCTTTTTTTAAATGTGGAAAGGGTTGTGGGGATGAAAAATTCAAAATAAATAAATAAATAAATAAATAAATAAATGAATAAATAAATAACTGGCAAAAAAGTTAATCAGCCATATTAATTTGGCAATCCTACGAAAGCAAGGGCTAATAAATTGATCTTGTTATAATATAAAATTTTCAAAATTCATTTTTGAAATATGGAGATTACGAACAGTTATCAAACTCAAGAGTCCATTGAAACAATACAAATTGGGAGCAGATCAAACACGGACCTCTTAAAACAACAGAGCTAGAATCAGGTACCGTGGAGGAGTTCGCATCTCCTGTCGAACGGTCACATCGGCCGTATGCTCCTTGTCATGATCGGACAACGGAAAATTCCGTAGACAATTCAATGTGTAAATAATGGCCTAATAATTAGAACATCAATCAATATTCGCCTTAATGATAGATTGTACTTGATGACAAGATTATTGTATCGACCATAGAACTTGCGAAATGATGACTTTAAACGAGATTGTTGATATTCTTGTTTCATTAAATTGTTTGACAATAGCTTGTTTCGTTTTAAAAATTGTTTGCAAATAGAACATTCTCTTGTATATTGGATCAATTGGGAGACATCGTTGATATAACTTTTAGCAAATCGGATACACTATCAAATGCAGCTAAAAAGCATCTTGTGAAAATCGAAATGGAAAGTTAGGAAAGAATGTGAAATGCGAAATAATTCAAATAATTGTACACGCTTTCCTTAAACTTTCATTATTTAAACTTTATAAGCAGTTTTAAAAACTATCAAATTCATTTTGGGATTAAAAACATATTTTGATAACGAACAGTTATAAAGCTCAAACGTCCATTAAAACAATACAAGTCATGAGCAGAGCAAACATAGGCAACATCAAAGATGGGATCAGGTGTCATGGAGAACTAAGCATCCATTCCCGACAAGTTACACCATATGCTCTATGTTACAATCAGTTTCATAACGGAGATTCAATAGTCAATTCAATATGAAATTAAAGGAAACATCGCATGTTTCTCAATAACTTGGAATAATATGCACATTACCTCCCTCATGTCACAGTTTATATATTTTGTATTTTTACTGTGGTAATTAAGTATTTATTGATTAAAATAAAAATCCTTAAATTAAAAATTCAAGTTAATTTGAGAGCGATTACTTGACAGTGTAACGTCAAAAGCGACAATGTCTGATAAGCTTACTAAATAAAATATAAGCGATACAAACTGGTTATTGTACGTAAATTATGGACGACCAAATCGCTGAATTTTTTGATATGAAGTTTGAGTTCTAGCCTTATATGTTTGAATTGTCTGAGGAGAAAATCCGCAAAATCGGGCAAATTAACCTCTTAACAGCGACGAAAACAGCAACGATAGCGAGAGAGAAACTGCGTAAACAAAGAAACTCTCCTTCACAATACAATTCGATTTGTCGTCTTGTAACACGTATTTGCCTACTTTATAGAACTTTGCTCATTGTAAATGAGCGAGTGAATAATTGTTGAATTAAATCAAAAGGTTGCAGGGGGGAGGGGTTAATTGAAATTATGTCTGCAGTTTGAAAAGGTGATGGGATCTTAGTTTATTGTCTTTTCTTCTTTATTCATGACAAAGATAAAAATAGACATGCCCTGACAGTTGTAATTTAGCAAGTTTCTCGACGCATTACTATTTTTGTTTTTATCAGTCATAATACTTTAAATTAGAACTAGTTCATATTTCAATGGTAATTTAAAATTACGTTAAGAATTTTTTCCACCAATTTTTGTAATTATGATCCGTTTGTCGTTGAAAACTGCGTTAAAATTATACAGGCTCTCATCTCTCTGTTACTGAATTGTCGCCTATGACGTCACAGCAGTATTTTAAATAAACAAGGTCAAAGATAATTTTTTCATAAAAGTGAAATTTTCTTAAGAGTCCTTTAACGGGATATGGGTATGCTTGATATATCTTAGATAAAAAAGCATAGTTTTGTTATTTTTATTTTTAGTGTGTGACAGGGTTTGTCAGAAAGGCCATATGCTAGAAAATATGAAGCTGACGGTACATACATTTTATGAGTGTCTTGGGCCACCATTTAACCCTGAGGAAGGACCAAAGTTTAGGCCAGTTGAACCATTGGTTGTAAAAAACCTTAACTTAAGAAAGATGAAATTTGTCCTAAGTTCGGAGGAGTACAGAAAAGTCTTTGATAAGCAGGCAGAATCAAACCATGGCAAAATAAAATGGCCAAGCAAAGCAGCCACAGAATTAACTGTGGAATGCACTTTAAGTAAAGAAGTAAAAGATTGCCGGAAATTGGCAAAAACATGGAAAGATCACATGGTGGATGTCATAAAGAAGTTGCTAGAGGTTCTACATGTTGAAGCCGTAAACGTCTTGCAGGAAGCTTGGCAGAAAAGCCTAGAAGAAATTCAAAAACTGAATGTTCCTGATCCCAGGAAAGTAGGAATTATAACAGAAAAAAGCAATTTTACAATTGTTATAGTGGGGTATGAAAAATTGTTTGAGGGTGTAAAGAGCGAGGTTAGACTAACCATATCTAAAGTGGTAGATGAGATTCAGCTAAAGAAAAAACTAGTGAAAGAAAGAGTACCGTTGAAGCGCTATCAGCTTCTGCTACTTAGCAATGACAATTTTACAGAAGCTACAGAAAAAGAATTCCCAAATATGAAAGTTACTCTAGATATTCAGGACAAAAGTGTTACCTTTGATGGTCTATATTCAGATGTTAGCAAAGCAAAACTATCAGTACTTGAGAAATGTCAACAGATGTGCCAGGCTTCTGCTGGAAAATTTTCAAAAAACAGGCAAGAGTTTTTAAGTAGGAACGAGGTTTACGCGAGAATTTCAAAGGAGCTGAAAAATAAGAAAAATTTGAGCTGTTTTGAATTCCAAAAAGACGAATTGATGTTTTATGCCTTTTCCGATGACAAAGCCGTTGAAGCAGCACACCTGGTGAAGAATTATATTGCAGAATCCCCCATTGATGTTCAAACAGACTCTGTCTATCTCTTAAATTCAGAAAAATGGAAGAAACAAGTGAAAAAGTTAGAAAGTTCCCAAGATTTTGAAGGTCTTCTCCAGATAATCACAGAAGCTGACCAAAGAAAAATAGTTATTGTTACAGTGAGCGAATACGTGGGTCTCGCAAGAGAATTTGTAGAGGACTTCCTTCGTGACAATACTATAATTAGCGATACAATGGACATTCCTCCAAGTCTTTCTAAATTTATGGAACTCCACCACGCAGGCAAACTTGAACAGATTTCTGAAAGCTTGAAAGAACAGCAAGTCCGAATAAAGAAGAATAATAACAAAATCGATATTGAGGGGACTCAAAAGGGGCTCAATCGAGCTAAGAAAAATATTGAGGATTTTTTGAAGGGGATCCAATGGAAAAAACAAAAATTGGAGAGGCCAGGAATTGCCAAACACTTAAAAAGTTCATCAGGCAAAAGCAAAATCTCTGAGGTCCAAAAGAATCACAAATGCTACATTCAAATTGGCGAGGACGGATCTACAGATTTGTCGAATTTTTGGACCGCCACCTCTAATTCAAAACAGAAACAAGATTCAAATAAAAGAATGACTGGATATTTGACTAAAGAAGGTGTCAGTATTAAAGTTCATTCTGGTGACTTGACTGCTCTTCCTGTCGACGTGATTGTTAATGCTGCTAACTCAGAACTTTATCATCAGGGGGGACTAGCGGGGGTCATTGTTACAAAAGGTAAAAAAGACGATAAATACACATATATTAACACAATTATTGGTTTGAACGGAAAAGATTAACTTAAAATTATATACAATAACTGGATTTTATAAACTGTCAACTTCTTAGAAAATACATCAAGTGTTTGTTTCAATTGTAAAATTTCACTGTAGCTGATTTGTTAATATTTGTGCATTAATTTACAGTTATTTTGATATATTGCTGCAAATTTACGTAAAAAATAAAATTTCAAGCGCTTAAAGTTAAGACAAAGATCATGAAAAGTATAATAGTATAATTTTCAGAAAATAATTATGTGCTCCATATATACAGTAGACTCTTCAAGGGAATTATAAGACTACTTGATCTGGTAATTTTAAATATAAACATTGAAAAAAGGCTCCTTTTTAAGAGAAAAAGGGAATCTTTTAATATAATTATAATTTGCGTTCAAATTTTAATCTACGCTTTTAAAAATAATCTCGAAGTAATAAAAAATTCTCAATTTATCTTTAGGTGGTAATGAAATTCAAATAGAATGTTCAGACTATGTGAGAAGGAAAGGAAAGCTTTTTGAGGGAGACACTTTCTGCTCAAAGGCAGGACAACTGTCCTGTAAAATGATCGTCCATGCTTGTGGTCCGACTTGGAGAGGTGGAATGAATCAAGAGAGTGAACGCCTGACAGACTGTGTTGAATCGGCATTGACAGAAACAGAAAAAATGGGTTACAACTCGATTGCAATACCTGGTTTATGCACTGGCATATTTGGCTACCCTGTTAACCAAGCCACTTCTGTCATTGTCAAAGCAATGAAATCATACTTAAAAAACAGAAAGGGATCCACCATTGAAGAAATAATTTTGTGTGACGTGCGGGAAGAAACTGTTAAATATTTCAACGAGGCAGTGAAGCAAGAGTTTAAGGGGAAGATTCAAAATGTGGGTGACAGCGCGCACGCACACTTTCAAGACGGTAGGAAAAATTTCTTTAAATAAATAAAGTTTATTTTCCCCCTTCAAAGGCATAATGACAAGTTTTTATTATAACCCTGCAAACAAAAACTTAGGGGCCTATATTGGAATCAGCATGCCAGTCTGTCTGTAAACGTGATTTTGTCTGGACCTTTTCTTGGATATTATTCCATGGATTATTGACTAAGCCATTTTGGTTCATATAGATTTAAGACATCGAATCAAGAACTTGCCAATTGGTACATCTGTAGAATATGTGAATTGCAGCTTAAAACAAGGTTATTTAACCTAAAAAAAAAATCAACAAATATTTTAAATAAAATCATGGTAGAAAATCTCTTGTAGTCCCCACAAATCTATGAGTCACGCAGTAACCTTATTAAAAATGTTGCAATAAAATTACACACTTTCCTCCCAAAATATACAGCAATGTAACAAATTTAAAAAAAAATCTTTGATTTGAATAGCAATGACAGAAATATATATGGCATATTGTACTACAAGTGCATCAAACAGCAGATAGTGTAAACGTTAACCCATTCGTCCCTTTGAAGTAATAAATATGATATGCATTCAGTTAAACAATAAAATGCTTTCTTTGTTTGTAAGTACGGAAATTAATGTTGCAACTATTGCAAAAAATTAAATAATTATATATATAATTACTAATTATATAATAAAGAAAGCCATTTTATTGTTCATATTTATATCTAGACGAATAATCAGTTAAAGTAGGATTAAGAAGATTAAATATTGTATTATATAATATTAATGTCATTGTAAGTTTAATATTTGGAAGAGCCACTGCTCTTGAAATCTGTAGAGGTAGTATGCTTCGTGGTGTTCACTGACTGATAAACAGCAATGGTTTTCTTAAGAAATAAAGGAGATAATATTCAGTGGATGTAGGTATTTTAAGATGATTTAGTGACTTAAATGCGGGGAGTTGTTAGAACATCTCTCATCAAGCGGTTGTTATTTATGTCTTCGAATATGGACAGGGGATACAAACATCTGGTTTCTAACTCTCTTAATAACAATTTATAGTCAAATTAAAATATATACATGTAGTTCCTGGATGACTTGTGTTTTATTCTCCTTGTCATGATCGAGAAAACATAAAAAAAATTCAATGTGTAAATAATGGCCATAGAACTTGCAAAATGGTGTCTTTAAGCAAGACTTTTGATAATCTTGTTTCATCATCTTGTTTGTCAATATATAGCTCGCCTCATTTAAGAAATTGTTCAAACAGATTGTGAACACCTCTTAGATCCATAAAGTACTTTGTCCTTTTTCTGAAAAAAAAACCCCAGCGGGATTATTAGTTCATTTTTTACAGTTCTAGATTGTTGTCAGCAATTCCTGAAACTTTATGCATTGTGTATTTTAAGACGATATCATATAAATAAATATTTTTTGAAAAATTTTCTTTTCAAAACAACACTTTTTTCTTTAAGTTTATTTAAACCCTTCCATTCTAAGAACATTTAAGCTAGAATTCACATATCAAAACACTTTACACCTCTCTGATATAGATTTAATGCGTTCTATTGAATAATGTAGGAATTCAGTATTGCTTCCCTGGAGGAATTAATATCTTTTTTAATATTTTTTAAATAAGAGTTTGAATATTCTCCTGAAAGGATGCGAAGGGTGAGTTCATATCTGAAACATTTGGAAAAAAGACAATTCAGACAATAAACTGTTATTTCAATCATTTAGAATCTTGAGCTTGTATCGATAATTTTGCTTGTAAATTGTATACGCAGTCTTTAAAACTGATTTCAATTTCAGGACAAACTCAATCACATGATACCGAATTTAAAACAGGAGGCATACGTGTCAAATTAGTGAAAGGTCAAATGGCTCAAAGAAAGGTAAATACGCAATTATTCAATTAAAGCCACTGTCTATATAAGGCCTAAAGAAGACCCCTGTTGATTTTCAAGTCAAAAGGTCAAAGCTCAAGGTAATAAATTCATAAATTCTGTCTCTGTGTTACACTTTCGTTTCTGGGCGATAACTCAAAAAGCTGTTGAGCTTTTGCAATATACCATAACTCCCTATCTCCCCGCCCCTCTCAGGGTGTCCCAAACCGTTGTTTTTATGGGTAATTTTTTTTAATTTATAGTCATTTTTTTATCAATAGTCTGGAACACCCCCTCCCACCCTCCCTCTACATCCGCGCTTGCTCTTTCTTTTTTCCCTAAGCGGGGGACACAGATTCTCTGAATTGTTTTAAAGAATGTTGTTTTTTTAGATATCTAAATTTGAATTTTCAAATATGAGTTTACATGGCCGTAGGAACCGGGGAGGGGGGGGGGCACAGGAGGTCGTGCCCCCCAATAATATTGCCAATACATAGATTACTATAGTAAACTTAGATACTATATGCTTGTGCCCCCTCAATTGAAACATCTGATGACCTTCCTTTTTTTTTGCTTGTCAAGGAATTTTTGGTAGTTGATGACCTTTTTTTTTTTTGCTTGTCAGGAAATTTTTTGTAGTACCCCTTCAACTGTCAACTGAAAATTTTATTAGCAACTAAAATTTTGACTTGCATGTATAAAGTCTAAGACTGCTAAATATTGTTACACCATATGCATTTCAATATAATTTAATATAAGATTTATTCTAAATGCTGCACAAAAATGTCAAAGGGGTGCAAAAATACTTCCTTCGATTTTATTCATTCGTTGAGTTCATGAAAATCATCAAAATGAGCTACTTCTCTCAGTACCAAAATAAAGCAAAATATCCCCGGGTTAAGCGTAAAGACCTCATAATGGGGCTAGGTGTTGTTTGGTGATACTTTTAATATGGGTATCTTTAGAGTGAGGTGCTCGTTGGTATACTTTCAATGCGCACAAAGTTCCGTATTGAAATTACAAAATTCGTATCAATTCGTTAATTACCAAAGTTGAAAATGAATTCTACATATATTCAAAGTGCAATTTGTCTTCAGAAATATCCGTCTAGCAGGCAACTCATTTTAGATCATCTAAGATGCTCAGATGAGCTTTCCTGATCACCCGTTGTCCGGCGCCCGTCTAGCTGTCTGTCCTGTCTTTTGCAAACATTTTATATTTTTAACTTCTTCTCAAGAACCACTCGGCAACATTTAACCAAAGATGGTATTCCAGGGATAAGGGGATTACAAATTGTTAAAATAAAAGGGAAATCCCTTTCTGAGGGTAGATAATCAAGAAAAGTAAAAGGCTGAGGTCACTAAAAATCTGATTCTCAAGAACCACCAGACCGGGAAAACTGAAATTTATAAATTAGATGGAATAGAGTTGACGTAGTGTAGAATTTCATTTTTTCAAATTATGGCTCCCATGCGTTAGGTGGGGCCACAGTAGGAGATGATTTTTAAAAAAAAAAAAAAAAAATCTTTTTCTCAAGGACCTTTGAGCTAGAAAAGCTGAAACTGAAGTGGAAGCTTCCTAAGTTAGTATAGATTCTACATTTTTCAAAACATGTCCTTTTTAAGCATGTTCTCTTTTAAGCATCCTAAGGTAGAGTAAATTATAATTAAAAATTGGTAAGATTATGCCCCTAAGGTGGGCGGGGCCACAAAAAGGGATCAAGTTTTTAAATTCAACCATACAGGAAAAATCTTTAAAGTCTTCTCAAGAATCATTGGATCTGAAAAGCTTCAACTTTTGTGGAAGCTTAACTAAGGCAGTGTAGATACAGTCCCTGAAACGTTCTACTTTCCCATTTTTCCGTTCGCTCACCGTTCGTTCACCGTTCGTTCACCGTGCGTTCACCGTTCGCTCTCCGTTCACAGTTTTGCGTTCACCGTTCACCGTGCGCTCGCGTTCACCGTTCACAAAGCGTTCAGCGTTCGCTCTTCGTTCCGTTCACTTTGCGTTCACCTTGCGTTCACCGTTCACCTATCGTTCAGTGGTCATTGCCATTCGGAACTCCCAAGTGAAAGGACTTATCTTTTTGTAGGTAAGGAGTTACAGATTTTTTTAATTTAATACTAACATATCGTGTTTGAAGAATCATTATTTCATGGGGGAAAAATCTAATATATATATTTTTATTATTCTAACTTAGCTATTAGGTTATTTATTAAATTACTCTGGGAAAAAAAATGTTGTTATAAGCACATCCTGTACCTATGTAGAACGATGCTGAAATATTAAATTTAACTAAGGCCAATGTGCAAATACTTCAAGCACTGCAACATTTTGATGTTTTGTTAAAGACGACAAATCGTTAATGGAGATATAATTATCCAAGTCAAATAATTACGCAGCAAAATTACGAAAATATTTATTTCTAACGCGTTTTTTTTATTCAATTACTACAGAAAATATGATAGAACTAGTTCTGAGAGTTATACATAGTACTGCGGATATCCTGTTAATTTATTATCTTTGGAGCGAACTAAATTGATAGTGTGTTTAAAGGAAATATTTATTTAAAATGTAATGCACTACAGAATATTCGCTACTATAATACACGTATGTAAAGTCTATAGTTATAGAGAAAAAATCTTTCTTCACCGTAACTTTATATGTTTGCTATTCGATATAATTAATAAACCCCCCCCCCTTTTCCGCTAAATCGGTTACTTAGTCAGTACTGTATTTCCAGAAAATTTTAATTAACCTGTTAAAAAAAAGTTAAGGTCTTTTTTAGAACAAAAATTTCAGTCTCAAAACAAACATGCATCTAAAAAAGTCACAAAACAATAGTAGTTCAAAATGTACACGTGTCGGCGGTGGTATTTGAAATTGGCAGAGAGTATGTTTCAAATTCAAGTGTTAATGCCCAATATATTTTATTCACTAATTATTCAAATGTTGGTATCAAATCTAGAAATGATAAAAATGAATGTTATAACTTGTTGGAAATACTCGCACTTCGTCTTCGATGTGACGAAACTTTCACATCTGCACAGTGTCGAATGATTTTGATTGACAGGACAAGCACGTGGACTTCGTGTGAACTTGAAGCAGGAAAATAAAAACGAGTAATACTGTCAAACAGATGGATATGATTTGTTGATAAAAAAAAAAAGAGTTACTTTCACTGTCTAATATATTTAGAAAAAAATATCAGAGTTATTGTTTGATATAGGTGCAAACATTTAGTGAAGCCTGAAAGGAAGGAAGGGGGGGCTGAAACGGAATCTCTCTCTCTCTCTCTCTCTCTCTCTCTCTCTCTCTCTCATTTGTCTGTTTGATAATATTACTTAAATATCAAGTTCTGAAAATTGAATTTATAACAAATAATATGAATATGTGTCTTTGTATTATCTTGTCTGAGTATAATCACGGCCATCTACAGATACATGTAGAAGTCTGTTCAATAAATCATCATGAAAAATAGAAATGACACATAATATATTATTGTATTAAACATTTAAAATACGAGGGTATAAATGCAAAACGTCCACTGACCTTTGTAATTAATTTTTTTTATTACTTTACATGAAATCGTCTTGACGCGGAGATACATATATGAATGGATGTTACAATCGCTTTAATTCATTCTATAAGTCAGAAGTTTTCTCTGATTTGTTATCAAATAAGAATAAACATTTTTATTTTCCAACTAAAAAAATATCTTTTATACTTCAGCGTTCGGCAACAATTGCAATGTTTTAATGCGTTAAAAATCGTGTGATAAAAAACTTAATGTGCATGAATCGTCTTTCTTAGGGCAATTTTGGAGAATTTATTTTATTTACTTATTTATTATTCATTTTTTGGTTTATTTATTTATTTATTTTTTTTTTTTTTGGCACCTGACATTATAATACAATAAAATAGTTTCAATGCAAGGAAAAGATCAGAGGCATTCCGAATATATCGTTCATCTTGCGTTCACCGTTCGTTCACCGTTCACTTTGCGTTCGCGTTTGCGCTCCGTTCGCGTTCTGCGTTCGCTCACCGTTCACCGTTCACACATCGTTCACCAAGTTGCGTTCAGCGTTCACACATTGTTCACTCACCGTTCGCTCTGCGTTCGTTCAGCGTTCGCTCACCGTTCGTTCAGCGTTCGCTCACCGTTCAAGTGGGAAAGTAGAACGTTTCAGGGACTGTAGTAAATTGTACAGATTATGGTCCATGGGAAAGGATAATGCACATTAGGGATTATATTTTGGGAAAAGCTTTAAAAATCTTCTACTCATGAACAGCATAGCCATTATGAATCATATTAATGTGGAAGCATCCTCTTCTAGTGTAGATGATTCATTTTTGTTCAAATTAGTTTCTCCTTGAAAAGTGTGGAGAACAATCAATATTATACACAGGAATAAATGTATAGTGGGAAAAATGTTATTCAGAACAACAGGGCCAAAGTGATTCAGGTAAACATTAAGGCCCATGGTTCTCTTGTTTGTAATTCTAATGAACTTTTAGCCCATTGAAAACAGAAAGAAAATAAGTATAATGACAGGACCAACGTGAATAAGTTGATTATACACATTGTAAGATTGTAATTTTTTCTTAGCTCTTTTGCTCATCTGACATTGGTTAATTATTGTTCACAATAATCATATTAATAAACCTCTTTCAAACCTGTAAAGTGCATGACCCCCCTGGAGACCATGTCATCAAGCTTTACACGTTTGGGTATGTATAGTTATTATAATTGTGTACTGACGTGCCTACTATCCGCTGGAGACCAGGCATCAGGAATGCTTAAATATATATATATAACTTTTCAAAAGTCTTAAATTTGTTTTTCAAATATTATTTACAAAATAAGAAAACTCTTAAATTGTGTGAATATGTTTCAGTACTATGCAATAATTGTGCATGATTAGTGTTTTTTCTCCATTGATGACAAATTGACAGGTGACCAAGAAAACGAGAAAACATACACTTAATTAATTTTGAAAGTCGTTGTCTGTAACTGCAGGGTTTGTCATAATTAACAAAATACACAACTGTCATTTCTACGGATATCAATAATATTCAGAGGATTTTTTTTTTTTTTTTACAGAAAATGGAATTTTTCATGCTTCTCAAATGACTAACACTGTTCACAAGCTTTTTGTAACAATTATGCCTTAGAAATCATTTTCAAAGATATTGCTTTCTTATTCACCCAGCATTACCGTATATGATACTAGTAATGCAAAGTTTGTATTTACAGGTGGATATTATCGTTAATACAGCAGCAAAAGATTTAAATCTGAGCCAAGGAGCAGTGTCGGCCTCCCTCCTTAACCTGGGAGGCATTGATATTCAGCGCGAGTGTCATTCCAAATACCCCCATGGCATCGAGTTCGGAGACATTGCAGTCACCAGTGGTGGAAAATTGAACTGCAAGAATATATTTCACGGGGCTCTTCAAAACTGGGACAAAGAGAAAGGAGTTGCGAAAACGGTTAGTAGTATATTGTTTTAAGTTTTTAATAGTTGATTTTATGTATTTTGTGTAGATTTCAAGCGCATGTGCAGATATATATGGGCAATAAATTAGCAAAATGATTAAGTTAATTGTTACTTGAAATTCAGACAAAGGATTGCGGGACAATGTATTTTCATTGATTGGGGTTGTGGGGTTACAAATCAGAATTTGATAGCTTTCTAGAAAAGAGAAATATTTTTTATTTACAATATAGAAATGTTAAGTTTACAACCCTAATTATAATTATTTACACCTTTACGAACACCAGAGGACATTAAATCCCATTCGTCTATCTGTCTGTCATATAAACATTAATCTTGGTCATAGTTCTTGTCACTTAACTTTAAGTAATTGCTGATGATCCAATCTGAAGAAATATTATTTGATGTTGCGTGTTCTAGTTTATAAACTTATTTTTCGTAACTAGTTAAACAGAATGACTTCAACCAACACAACATATAAATAAGTAAAAAGCATCAAATGGTACAGTGAATGAAATATTAAATAAGTTGAAAGAACAGATATAAAAAATAACCTGATCCCACCTCTGATGTTTTGGAGGTCCGTGTTTGCTCTGCTCGTATTACATGTATTTAATGGACTTTTAGCTTGAATACTGTTCGTTATCTCCATAAACTGCATAGATAATTCTGTTATTTATATTATTCAAGCAAGATGATATGGTCAAATCAAATTGATCAAAATTTCATTAACTTTTCAAAGCCAATGGTCTTAACTTCAAAACATACATTAACATTTTACAGGTTGAAGCAAAATAAACAAAATATTCATGTATTACATAATTGTTTCTCTTTATTAGTAATTTTTTTTATTGTTTTAACTTTCGCAGGTATACATAAAAAGTTTGAAACTTATACATATACATGTATCTACAGTATACTTCAAATGAACTATTAAAAGTCTAGACGAACTCCCGAAACGGCATGAACTCCGAAAAAGAAGTATTTGTCTCCATCATGCATTGCGGCAAAGGGCGTACATTGCGTATTCAATGTAAACAAACAATAGATTGTCGTTCGCTTTCTCCAAATATACAGCCGCATAATAGCTGTATGTAGTACATTGTGACTTTTGTTTTTCTTGAATGAATTATTACACATTTCTACTCTGGTATCCAAGTTGTTATTGGAGAAATTCTGTCAAATAACGATTCCCACTGTAAGACGATATCAGTTGACAAGTATTATAGATAAAATAAACAGTTACAAAGTGGTTGAAATAGTTTGTATTGTCAAGTGACCAAAGCTTGTTCTGTAGCCAGTCGACGGGCATTACCAAGTGGTGTTTGTATAGCCAATTGGCTAGTATTACCTAGTGGCATTGCATAGCCAAATGGCTAGTATTACCCAATGGCATTATATAGCCAAGTGGCTAAAATTACCAAGTGGCGTTTGTATAGCCAAGTGGCTTGTACATGTATTACCAAGTGGCGTTTGTATAGCCAAGTGACTAGTATTACAAAGTAGCGCATGCATAGCCAAGTGGCTGATCGTGCAACCATGTGGCAAGAACATTGGTAACACTGCTACCATGCGGTAAGCTGCCTAGCTGTTTTTGAGAGGCAGTACCATTTTGCTTTGTTATTTAATTAATTATTGCACTAGGCAAGTGACATATATATATATATATATATAATGCATAAATTATACACATGGCAAGTGTCCACTATATTTGTATATTTTGCATTTTTTATTATCCTTACAAGACTTGGGTAACCCAAGAGATCGCTCGGATCTTGCACGTTACAGTTTATATCTTTTTTTGCAAATATAATCTAAAATCTGACAAATACAAGCTCTTCTAGATACTTTTATATAGCATTTAACAATGCTGACATGATTGCCAGACTTCCCAACACTTTGCACGAGCAGACCTGTAATTTTTGCCGAAAAATTTATATTTTCGTGTTAGTGCACATGCGCGGACTCTATTTTCAGAGTCTTTTTTAATTTCAATTTTTTACTTCCGGTAACTCTGTTTCAGGGGTTCGTCTAGACTGATCAGATATGTCATTAATAATCATGTGCAAATAAAAAAAATCCTCGGATAGAATAGCACTTACAGAGAACGCAGCGAGTTCATTAGGAAACGCCTAGTCGATTAGAGAGTTTAGACTGGCTGTACATTAATTTATATTTTAACGTAAGCTCAGTACGCATAATCCTCCATAAATTGCATATGGCACACAAATGAATTCTTGAGATAACCAAACAAATGTTTACATAAAAAATAAACTTACCTTGATATCTTGGTCGGATATTACAGAAATTTGGTAGATTTGACGTTCTTTGTTAAAATTTTACACATTTCAAACTTCGAAATGGAAATATTCAAATATTATACGACGTCATAAAACGTCATAGTCAAGGTCTTCGAAATGCCTCATGTGGTTAAAATAGGGTATCTAAGTTATAAGTAATAGGTAAGCTATCCAATAATGCACAACTGCGCTCGCTCCATTTGTCGCACTGTCAATACATTCATATGAAAGTGTGATAAATAAAATGAGATATGATTCCCCAGCTCTCAAAACTAAATGCAATAATGAAATTGGAAGAATAAAATAGAGCAAAGCTCGTTGCAAAGCAACGAGTAGGTCTTCCGTCCGATTTGCGATGTTGACTGTGATAGATTTACTCAAAAAAAAAAAAAAAAAAAAAAAAAAAAGAAGGAAGAACAAGTATAATTGAATAAAATAGGCGATTGAATTATTCAAAATATGTTTAAAAACACATGAAAGAGTGATATCTTTTCATTTCAATCTATTTCCGGTTCTTTTAAATTTTTAAAAATTCACTTCCGGTATGACAAGAAGTGCTCAAAACGACTTAAAACTCCACAGTGAGTCTGTACAAATCTTTCCTGAAAGTTTGGTTAAAAAATATTCATTTTTGGACAACTTCCGGTTTAAAAGTACTCTTCCGGTGGAAATGAAATGACTTGAAACACTATATATGTCAATGTTCTAAACATTTAAAAATAAAAAAAAATCAAAAATTGCATATTTTTAAGCTACTTCCGGTGGACAACGGAAGTGACGCCGAAAAAACGAAACACCGGAGACAAATGTACAGATCATGATCTTTTATCCCAGAATGACTCCATCTTCAACCGTTTTTGAATAGAGGCACAGACAAAATTTCAATTTAAAAAGAGAAAATCAAATATAACTCGCGACCGGAAGTAATATCATCGAAATAAAAAAAATGCCTTAAGTTCATGTAATTTGCCATCATTGCTGAAAGTTTCATGAAAATCCATCGATGCATTTACGAGAAATCGCGTGCACAAAATCGGTAATAATAATAATAATAATAATAACTAGAAACTCATTGCGAGCAATGAGAGGTCTTCCGTCCGATTCTGAAAAAAAGAAAACTCAAGCTGAAAAAGTGATAAAAGAAATTCAGGCACTCTCGAGATTTAACCCTGGTCGTCAGCCTGAAAATCCAACGTGCTAACCATTAACCATTCCCTTTTTTGCATCACTTCCTGTCACGATCGGAAGTAACGGCGATACAAGATTTTGTCACGATTCAAATAAACTGATGACTGACTATCAGTCCTGAAAGTTTTAGACTTCAGTCGTTTACTGTTGTCGAGCAATAGACCGGAAGTTGACGATTATTTCCGGTGGAATCTAACATATTTTAAAACAGCGAAAGAGATGCAATAAAGTGATGCAAGTTTTAGTTTAAAAAAGAAAGAAGAGAAATAACATGAGCGCATCCTCTGATCTAAAACGATAAAACAGGTTTTGTAATCCTCAGAAATAGTTCTATCATTTAATAGTTGCATACTTAAGATCAGAGGTTACGTCCTATATTAAATATCGATATCGAAAAATAGCTTTAAAAATTGCTGTTTTGTAGAAATTTTCAGGATACGAGGAAAATGACGCATTTCGTGACGTCTTAATGCATAGGCTAGCCAGAAAATTACGTCATTTTTGAAAGATACGCAGTCATCAATGGTCTAAATGATATTTAATGCATTGTCAACTAAAGCCAAGCAGTTTCAGTTTTTCTGAAATTCACAGGGCCAAAAAAGGCCCTAAGTGAACCTTGTTCTTTAATATTGAAACCACTACACTAGCGCAATGTACCAGCCATCATCGATGTTTACCTTGCACTCATTCTCTGAAGTAACGAGTGTCAGGCAGGTTAATTTTTTTTTCTTATAGTGCGGAATTATAGAATGAAAACTAGCCAGCTAAATTTTGTGCAAGTGCTAGTAGATTTACATCGGATTTGTTACTTGAATTTTAACAATAACTGATAGCAGAGAAAATAATCTGTTACTGATAAAAACTAAAAAAAAACTATTGTGTTTACATCCTTTATTCTTTATGCATTCAGCTTTCTATTCTATGCAATTCCAAATACAGGCATGTCCGTGTAATCTTTTTCTGTACTTCTACACTACTGCATCAGACCATTTGTGAAAGGCGGGTCAAGATACATTATTTCGCGCCAAACGTCACGAGTAAATCTTCGCACCTTTTCTTTGAAATGTGTCTTCAATTGAATAAGTGTACGTGATAGCTTCAATGAAATTTAAAAAAAAAAAATATGTTGCTATAGCCTGATTTTGGAGCCTAAGAATGTATATTTATCACACTGTACATATAACATATCGTATACGGTCAAGTAACATAAAGGCAGCGCTAAGTTTTCTGACACATTTTATTTTCCTCTTAACCCCCAAAGTGGACTATTCCAATTAGTAACACATTAATGAAAAGTCTTGAATGTTTTGCAACAAAACACGTCTCGCCATATGACGCTCAAGGAATCTGATACCTATTATGTTCCGTAACTTGCATCTATAAAGGAATATTACCCTACTAAAATCAAAGAAAAATATTGAAAAACGTAAAAGTTGAAAAAATGGACTTTTTTACTTCGCTTCCGGTAGCGACCGGAAGTACTCACGACGCATGAAAAGGCAAACCC